GGCAGCAGCCTTTCCATAAAAACACAAGGCTGGGGGTCTCTGGACCAGAGAACCCAAACGTGCACCGTTCAAAAATCAGAGACCAGTTTTGTGCTGCAGACACAGTGAACAGATGATTGTCTTACTTCAGCCAGCGAACCATAAGGACTGGGTGGTCCCAAGAGTTAGTGCTGGAATCAAATGAGAACTCACTCAGGCACTGAGCAGTATGGCATAGCCATGATTTTGCCACGACAATTCAACTTTCAAATCCGAAAAATCAGGTATAAATGAGTAGATAATTCATCACTTTGTTTGCCTGGGGTGATGGTGAGGTGTTGTCATATGGCTCAGGCTGGTCTTGATGGCTTGCCTCAACCTCCAGAATTCTGTGGCTTCAGATGTGTGTCACCACACCACACCTTGCAGTACTTTTCTCCTTGAATAATCACTGCAAATTTCAATATGTGTATGGCCCGTACAGCGATCAAATTGGGCTAATTAGCATATCCATCATCTCAGACATTTTTCTTTTCTTTGAGATGAAACATTTTAAATGATAACATTTAGCTGGAGTTTTTTGTGGCTTGTAAATTTGACAAAGACAAGATTAAGAAAGAATAACTTACTCAGAAACACTTGGACATATTTTGAATTAAAGCCAGTATACTTTTGATGGACTGACTTTAATTCTAATCCTAACGTCTCAACATTGCCAACATACCCTCTCTGTTGTGACCCCAGTACCAGGGACCAGGACTAGCATTAGACTCCATTGCCTGTCTTCCCAATTCATCTTTGTTTCATGGTCCAGCACCCAGCAGATCAAGGCCCCAGCATCCCTGCTAGGCCTCCTCAGGGATGACAACCTGGTCTTCCTGCTGACAAGATGATGTGAGGCCTACGGTAGAAACCGGGAGACCTGGGAGACCCCAAAAGACATCCTTTTCTGAGAGGATGAAGTCAGCTCTAGAGGGAATAGTTGAGCAGCCTGTGGAAACATAGCTAAGCAAGAACAAGGAAGGAATCGGTCTGACGTCACCGCCTCCTGGCTCTTGCTTTCTTCATACGTGTCACGAACCGCAGTTACTACTGAAAAAGGATGTGTGCACACCAGTACTAGAGAAAACACTAGTGACCGCTCCCAATGGACCAGGGAGGTTCCAACAGTATTTAAAACAAGGCGAAAAGAGTAAGAGGTGGTTATGTAAGTGAGTGGACGTACTCCATATCAAAGACGCTACCCGGGAATCCAGTGCTAAATGGAAATACCTGGACTGAGCTCTGGGCTTCTTAGGCGGAAATGAAAACAAGCCGTGTTTTCCCACTCCCATTATATAATGAAAGAAAGCATTTGAGGTGTTTTCCTCTTTTGGTTTGTTCTGGCAAAACTTGATTCAAATGTTAAACTTTATCCAAATACTAAGTAAGTGAACTCGTCAGCTATGCTGCCACAGGAAGTATCGCTAATAACACTTTTGTAAGAGATACAGGACAATCAAAGATACTGTGGAAGCTTACTTCCAGTAAATTCAGCATGCCTTTGTTGAGCTAAAGAATTAAGGTATGTGCCTTCGTGATAACTCGGTTTGATTCAGGAATGGAGTTGAAAGTCTTTAAAGTCGTTTTCACAGAGTTCATTGAAAAAGACCTGCTTTCTACAAATATTTACTCTCTCCCCCCACCCCTCATTCCACCCCCACTCTGGTTCCGGGTGTCTGGGGTGTAGCATGAGAACCTGAATTATCCACGGTCTCTGGATACAGGTGGCAGGTAGCCCAAGTTTTGAGAAACACGACCCTACAGGAATTGGTTATTTGTATACCCCGGTCCTTCTGGCCCCTCTGAATGTGAACTTCTCCATTTGCTTTGTGATAGGCCACCAACAGCCTGAGATCAAGGTCTCAAAGACGACATAGGAGGTGAAAAGTCTTAGGTCAATGATGACGTGATTCTAGTGCCTTCCACAGCAGGCAGACCAGGACAGGAGTGTTGGCTTTATAGACTCAAACACTGCACAACAGAAGATTGAGTGGCAGAAAGCAGGGGTGGTGGTGGGTGGTTTGCAGTCGGGGTAAGGAGAAGGGATAAGAGGAGCAGACAGATAGGCCAGGCAGGGAGCTGTAACACTAAACTTTGCTGTTCTCCAACAGCCAGCTCCTTTGGTTTCTGCTGTGTACACGGGTGTTGGCTCCCAGCCCTGTTAGCTTTGCCCCCGATTAATGCAAAAACCTTGCTGGAGGTTTGATCCGAACCAGGGAAAGGCTGCGAACATGGCAGACCAGAGAGCTTCATGGAATCTAAAGGATTTACTGTGTGAGCTCTAGATGCATGGCTCCCTAAAATTTCCACAGATATTTTGTGTGCATAGAAATACATGTCATTTTTTTTGTGTGTGTGAAAAAGACACAGTGGCAACTTTCATCAGCTTCTCTAGGCAGCCATAAATGATACCAAAGGGCTGAGAAGTGCTAGGCATTATGACAAGGCTCAGGATACAGTAAGCTCTGCCTTCGACCTGTGTGTTCCCGCTACACTCTGCCTGGGTCAGGTGGCTGGCAACGTTCTTGGTGACAGCTAGGTCATTAAGTGTCCCTCCGGCCCCAGGAGCTCCCCTTCATGCCGAATCTAAGGATCATGGCAGCAAAGCTACAAGCTTCATTTTGACAGGTTGTTCTGGGTAATTAGTCCCTTTTATTTGTTCATGGAAATAGTTAAGTGACAAGATCATAATGTGAAGCTTGTTAGGGCTCTCCAGGGTGGAGAAAGCAAAGCCAAAATTGCTGTTACTTGCTCTCTCTGGATTTGACCTTACCCTTGAAATCCAAGGGAAGCAGTCCGCTCAGTGCCCGCTCTGTGGAGAGTACAGAGCACCAGTTTCCTTTCATCCTTCTGCCAAGTGAGGGATTGGAGCTGGGCTTTCAATGTCCCCTGCATCTGCCAGCTGCATCACATTCACAGACCGGCAGCTCATTAACTTGAAAAGCTGGGAAGATGTTTGTTCTCCCACTTCATTTACCTGTCCAGCCAGGTTGCTTTACAACCAAGTGAGTGAGTTTTGAGTAAATAGGGTCCTAGGTGATGAAATATCCAACTCTTCTCAGGTTGAATATTTCCATTGCTTTTTACATGAATGTAAGCGTCATCTTGATGGGCAGGCCAGGGCAAGTAGTAACAGTTCACTAGGTAGCAGGTCAGGAGAGGAGCAGCCCAATGATCATTGATCACCTATTACAAGGGCTATGGAAAGGGAAACAATTACACGTGTTGGTAAAGAGGTTTTTAAAAAAAGGACCCCTAGTATGCTGGTGATAGAGAGATGAATCAGCATCACCATCTTGGGAAACTAGATAAAGATCTCAGACTGAAAACAGAGCTAACACGGTGTCTGAAAATCTCACCTCTGAACATATAAGTTAAGAAATTGAAATCAGTATGTGGAAGAGATGCCATCACTAGTATTCACTACAGCATCACTCCCAACAGTGACCATTATAAAAGCAACTGAAGTGTTTGCTAGTGATGACTGGATGAACAAAATACTATGTATACATATAAAATGGGACACTTCTGTCTTATGAAGAAGGAGATTCGGGTGTTTGTGACAGTGCAGATAAACACTGCAGACATCATGCTAAGTGAAATAAGCCAAGCATGGAAAGTGATTCTGTACGATCCCATTCCTACTCATAGGAAGAGAGATTAGAATCAGGGCTACAAGAGGCTGGGGAGTGGAGAGTTGGTGGGGTGGGAAGTGTGGACATGTTAGCCAAAGGGCACAAGGTTGTAGTTAGGTAGAGGAATAAATTTTAATGTCCTAATGAGTATTGTTGATAATAATGTATATGTCTAAATATCTAAATGAGTAGATTTTAATTGTTATTATGAAAAATAAGTGTGTGAGAGGATGCATATTTTAATTAGATTGACTAAGTCTTTCTATAATGCATATACCTATTAAAATATTTCACTGTACCTCTAAATATATATAAGTATCATTTATCAATGAAAAGTGAAAATTTAAAGGATAGCATGAACTCTGTGATTACAGTATACTTCTTCCTAAATACACATCTCCCAATGACGCCTGAAGCAGAGAGTCAAGAACCATGTATTTCCCAGCTCTGTTTTCGTGCCCACCCAGGTTGCCAGTGTCCACAGAGTTGACCCCCTTTGCAGTAATGCACTTTTCGATGCTGACGGAGATTACTGCACTGTTTGTGGTCACTCCTAAGGGACGCTGATTCCAGCATAAGTAAGCTCATTCCTTGGAATCAGAGACTTGATATGAAATTGATAACAAAGAATGGATAGAGTATCCATTTTTTCCTGTCTGGATCTTCCTAATAGGACAAATCAAAGATACTTCCCCTGGGTTGAAAAATGAGGACTTTGCCTTCTAAAGCATATTGTGTTCTTTCCCACACATTGTTGTTGTTTTGTTTTCCAACACAAGATTTCCCTCATCCTTTGAAAATTAAATGTTAATGTGTTTAAGATCTCAAAGTTCATCAGAATCTGTGTTTACCTTTGTGGGTATTTTCTGCCAGCATCCCATAGTTAGTTCATTGTACTTGCCTCAAGCACATTCATATACTGCACCCAGGAACAAAGGTCATTTCAGACGTATCCTCGAAGGGGAGGAGTCTCCTCTCAGCACTGACTGGCAAGTGCAATTGAAAGTCCAGAGGTTTGTGTGCCTTGGATACAAAGATCTTTTTTCTTGTTCTTTTCTGAATATAATGCTTTCCTTAATCTAGCACACACACAGAGGAAAGAGGGTTTTCAATATTTTCAATTAGCTGATTTAGATGAGTCTTTGAATGAAGGAAGGAAGGAAGGAAGGAAGGGAGGAAGGAAGAAAGGAAGGATAGAGAAAACTAGAGGCTACAGCAGATTATGTCTACATTACAGGGGAGCAATTTGAACTGTACATGTTGTGAATGTTAGCGCTTTAGGCTAATATCCTGTAGAACAGACAAGCCCGTTTGCATCACTAACCATGTGGCTTGCTTTACTAGCTGCCGTGGTCTGCGTGACACTTCTTGACAGACTCGAGAGTGACCAAATCAATTTGTCCCATGATGTCCTGGTGGAGTACCAGCAACGGCCACAGCTCCTAATCTCCAATTTCATCAAAAAACAGCTTGGACTTGGTAGCCAGGTGTCCCACCCGTCTCCTGTGAGTTGGTAGATAGAGCTGCAATGTCGAAGCCATGTGTTGTCTGTAACATTCTTACGTAATCCTCATCCTTGGGCTAAAATCGTAAAAGATTTTGTGAACTCCTTTATCTTAAAGTTGAACTTACTGTAAGAGAATTTAATACCCGTGTGAAGTTAAGTTCAAATTCCATTTTAGAACCAGTTAACTAAAGCAGTCTAATAATTAGTGTTTTAAACTCATGAATTGTGACATTTGGAATTTCATATGTAGCATTAATCAAGCTTACATCAAAACAGAGCAGCCATTTGGAGATGGTTACCAGTTGCTTGCTGAAGCGGATCCAGAAGTGTGTGTTAGGATGTTGTCAGCACGTCTAGGTGTTGGACAAGTGACAAAAACTGATCATACACATTCCAAATATTTACAAAAATGTGTCATTGTAATATTAGTCTGTATGGAAGAATTATTCTCAGGGAAATATGGCCATGCTTTTTTTCTATCCCTGCACAACTTCGGGGCACACAGAATGGAATTACAAGTTTTTGAATGCTTCCATTTGTGATTTTCACAGAACGCAACAGCTTGAGATCACACTTTTTTTTTTTTCAAATGCAAAGCCCCTTTCTCTTCAGAAATCAGAAGTGACTAAATTACCTTCTAGCAATCTTTTTTTTTTCCTATAAGGAAATATGTCATGGGAAAGCTGTATTTATTGTTGTTGTTTCAGTAAGAACTGGATAACTGAAGAATTCATTAACCAAATTGAAACTTCAAGTCAAGATGGTGAAAGAATCCCTCTCCCTAACTTCGAGGCAGGTTTTGTTCAGAGCCTGCACATACGCCTCCCCTGGTTGACCCCAAGAGGTCATATAGCAGAGGCTCCACGAATCCATCCCCCCTCCAAAGTTCTTCTGAACATTTAGGAACCGGAGAGACTGGTGGAGTAAGAGTGGAGGACGCCTTGCAAACTTGTATATAGTATGTAATGTTGTGTATATATATTTATATGGCTCTGGAACAAATACAATTTAACTCCCACCATGCATGCAGTATTTGGATCCTGGACCACACAAGGCAGGATTCCCTGCTGGAATCAGCAGGCTCCAGGCTAGCTGAGTCTGAACTGGCCAGTGCCTGAGACAAGAATGGATTTCTCTTTTAAGCAGCAGCAATAAAGGATCCCCTAAAAGGTGCTTTGGTTGTGAACTTCTTTTGGAAGCAGAAATGCTTGGAACGCAACTTTCCAGGTCTCCCAATAATTGACCATCAAACACAAACATCTGAACTACAAAAACGAAGGGCGAGGCAGGAGAGTATCTCCTTGCTAGCCAGATTTTTACTTTACTTCCTATTTCCTTAAGTGGAAACCACTTGAAAGCGGTTCAATAAGCTGTTTTTGGTTTGAACTTTTATCTGGCTGCCCTTGAAAATCTTGTTTGCTTTCTGCCTTGCTTTGAGAAGGGGAGATGCCGAGAAATAGATGAATGAAACCGTTACTACCCAATCTTCCTGTCGCTTCCTGACCAAGGCTGTACGAATGTTCTCCTCACCGGTAGTTCCTATGTCAGCAAATAGTGTCCGGTCAGATATCTGCAAAACTACTTTAAGGAGTCTGCCTTCCTTATTCTGTGGTTCAAACAGTCAAGGAGTCAGATGAATGGACTCTCCTGCATCATTCCTCAATCTGGCCCCCTTTCCACCCCGCCCCCACTGCTCGAAGTCCGGATACCACTTTCTGCCTTGGGTGTGCTGGGGTCTGCTGTGGGATGTCCTGTATGCTGTGAATGTGTTGCTATGATTGATTGATAAGTAAAAATGCCGATTGGCCAGTAGCCAGGCAGGAAGGATAGTGTAGGCGGGACAAGGAGAGAGGAGAAGGCTGGGTGGAAGGCTGAGTCAGGAGATGCTGCCAGCTGCCGGGATGAGTAGCAAGATGTAAGTTACCGGTAAGCCACGAGCCACGTGGCAAGGTATAGATTAATAGAAATGGGCTGAGTTTAAGTGTAAGAGCTAGACAGAGGTGGGCCTGAGCTAACGGCCAAGCAGTTTAATTAATATGAGCTTCTGAGTGATTATTTTATAAGCGGTTGTGGGGTCCATGGGGCTGGGGAGGGCTGGAGAAAACTCCAGCTACAGGGGTCTCACTCTCAATAGCCACGCCTCTATTCTGGAAGCTCAGTTGCATACTCACAACGGATAGGCCCCACTTCAACTCCTGCTCCTGGATGAAATCAGAACTCAAGGTTCCCTTCCTCCTGAGCCTCTAGGCAAGTCCGCACAGCACTCTTTTCCACAGCACCCTCTACTACTTCAAAGTCCTCATCCTAGCTGGAGATTTTGTTGTGGTTTAGCTCGCTGTTTAATGAATACTTAGTGCCTAGACAGTTAAGACTCTTGAGGGCAAAGACCACATCTGCTTTATTTACTGTCCTACCGTCTGTCTCCACACACCTGAACAGTGCCTGTCAATGCTAGGTGCGCAAATGAATGTTGGTCAAATGAGGAATGCATTTCTGCCAGAGTACTACCCTTAAAAATTCCCGCTGCACTGAGCAGGGTGTGGGCATCCATCGGTTTGCTCCAGAACACCATCACGTGGTTCTCAACACTGGGGCATATTAGGATTGCCAGGAAAACCCTTCAAAAGCACTGCCTGAGGCCTCACTTCAGATCAACTCAATAGGACTCACTGAGAGCAGGACTGGGCAGGCCTGCAGTAAAGTGTGGCTGGGAAGACAGCCCCTGATTTAGGATAGTGTGTCCTGCAGGTGCCCCTCCAGCTGAACTGCTAAATGCCTTTGACCATTCTCCCCTAGAATAGTTGCCAGAAAAGCAACTCCTCAATGCCAGGAATAGTATCTTAATCATTTTATCTTCTAGCCACTAACTGGTACACAGGAAATCTGGGTGTTAAGCATATATATGTGTTATTTTCTGTACATAATATATTAATAATATAAGAATCATACATATCTTTAAGTCAATGGCTTTTAAATAACTGGACTACCTAAAGAGATAACCCTTTCTAGAAGAATATATGCCTGCATTTAAGAAGTCTCATGACCTGTACAAGGCTGCAGCTGTAGAAACATGGTGCTCAACTCATTTTGCTAACAGGCACCACATGTCGGGTAGAAATGAAAATTTGAGTGAAAGATAAATGGACTCCATTGCTTGCCTCCAAGCCATAGGTCCTGTCTTTTGACATGGAAAGAGATTAAAATTGTTCAACACATACTGAGTTTCATAAAGCCACACTGTTCCTCTCCAGGATCTAGCATGCCTCTGGACATAGCACAAGTAGTTTGAGGATCTGGTCTACAATCCTTATATCAAGTTAGAGCTAAACAAACTACTCTTGCTGATCAGGTTTCCTTTAGTTCCCTTTAAAAATGATATTTATGTTTATACACATATACACACATGTACACACACACACACACACAAGCACACAAACACATCTTTCAGTCCTTTAGGGCTTTCTCCATCTTTTAAGAATCCTAAAATAATAACAGGATCCTCATCAGAATGTCTCCTAAAATGAATTATCTGGAAAAATTTATAATTTGCAATATGTTTCATTATTTACTTCCTAGTGATTCCCCCATTCTGATGTACTCCTCCTAATAGATGTCATTCAATATAGAATTGATTTAACATTTATTTTTCTACAAACTGAGCATAGCAATTTTCCCTTGAGAACAAACCCCACCATTTAACTGCTTTTCCTTCTGCAACATTAAATGTGATATTAATAATATCTTATGAGCATAAAGTAATTTTAAAATTCATTAGATGAACAACCTTGAAACCAAGATCATATATTTTGTGGAGAATTGGCCTAGAATTACCCTGCCAAAAGGTAGTAATTTAGGGTTGTGCCTGATTTTTTTTAGAATTTAAATTTTCTAGGAAAATGTGTTGTCTTCTATAGCAGCCTAATTGTCAACATTTTGAAGCACTATAGCTATGCCAGAGTTATAAAAATTATCTAAATCCTCCAATTTTAACCCATCTCCCATTAGACCAGAATGAACAGATCTTTAAAAATATAGGTTACACTTTTATCTCAAAAATCACTTTATTTTTCACCTAAGAGAAAAGCCTTTCTGGAGTTACATTCCACCCTCACCTGACTCCCCACCACCATTACAACCCCAAAAGCAAGAATAAAATAAAAGCAACGGGACTGTTAGGCAGGGCTCGCTTGTGGTAAATAGTCAGCAGTGAGCACTGCCCACCTGCTCAGACCTGTTGCCTGCACCTCACGGGTGGGTCCGCTGTCAGTGCTATCTGCCTTCCTTCCATTGAGATCCCAGAAGGCTCGTGCCAATAGAACGGTTTCTATGACTGTTCTAAGGTTTCAGGGGTGTGGACTCCAAGCAAGCAATGGGCAGAACAAGCAAACACATTTATAAAGAACCCACTTCATGTAAGTCACCAGGCTAGGTATCACGAGACAAGAAGATGATCAACAATTGCTTCCTTAAGCACTTAACAGCCCCATATGCTTGAAGCACCAAGACTGGCACGTGAGTTACTGTAATTCAGAGGGAAGTAGCATAGACTCCAAAGGAGAAACAGAAACAAACATGTTTGAGAGGGCAACAAGAGGGGTGACCACGTAGAGTAGGGAGACTTGAGAGGGCTTCCTGGACAAAGTGGACATCTGAGGTGAACTTTACTTAAGGGTGAATTTTGGTGAGAACTCTGTGCAAGATGTTGTCAGCAGCTGGCAAGCATGAAACAGGAAAAAGGCTATGCCTAATGTGATGAAGACTTCTTCCTGGCTGGATCTGGGCAGGTAATTTGTGTTGTATGCTCTACATGGACAAGGAGACTGGACCTACTGTGCTGGCAAAGGGAGGCTACTGACAGATGTGTAGAAGAAGCAGTCAGATGTCTGTTAGGGGGAAGAAGGAGGAAGGCGCTTGAGAGTGAGCTAGGGACCTGCAGCAAGAAAATATGCCTGAGTTCAGGGGACTAAGACTGGGCCGCCTACATCACATAATACCCAAAGGGAGAGAAGAATAGGCGAGAACTCCAAATTCACTATTGTTGCTGGTATTGCATTAGTCACACACACACACACACACACACACACACACACACACACACACACACATACACACACACACACTCTTGAAAGGGCAAATGCCTTCAAATTTTCACTTTATAAGGCAGTTTCTAGGACTTGAGAGGTGGCTCAGAGGTCAAGAACACTGGCTGTTGTTCCAAATGTCATGAGTTCAGTTCCCAGCAACCACATGGTAGCTCACAACCATC